CTGGAGGTGGTACATAGTTTCGACCAAAATAGTTGCCGGAAAATTTTCCAGCAATCATAGTGAAATGTTTCACGACGTCAGTGACATGGACGATGACGGCAGTGACAGAGCGGTGGCAGAGGTGAAATGGGTGGTGGCGACATAAAAATGTGATAGTGACATATAAAAGAAATAAATATTTAACAGTGACATAAACAACGACAGTGACATCATGTTTTTCCATATATGTGACCCTCTTAGTCGCATTTTTGTCATTTTGAAAAACCGGTCACATTTTTGAAAATTAGCTTTAATTTAGTAATATTCATACTAAAAGTCCAAAAAATACACCACATTACTGAGTGAGGGAATGACGAAACAGGGTAATTTTTGAGTAGGTGTTTCGATATAGTGCAGATTCCATTTTTTTGACAGAAAAAGGATGAGTTTTGCTCTTTGTACACAGATTAGTACAAACTCAAGGATAAAACGGAGTAGAGTACTCCAAAAATGAGGAGTAGCTAATGGGTGTCCAAATTTTTTTATTTTCGGATCTGACACATTCATTCCCAAGTGTGACCTGCCCATCCCAGTTGTTAATACAAAAATGATAAAGGTATCTCAATTTGTACCCCACCCTATTTTTGTGGCTCACAAAAGCAGCTCATTTAAGTGGAGCAATTCATTTATTAAAGTGGACTTTTGTGAGCCACACAAATAGACTGGGGTACAAATTGGGATACAAAATGGGGTACCTATAAAAGAGTTGTTGTTAATACTCCTTATTACTACGTATATTAGTATTAAACTATTAATAATGTTTTTTTATAGTTCATTAACAAGTGTATATCCTTATTTTATTAGTTTAATATTTCTAAGAAAAGCGTATAAATATTACTCCGTAGTATATTTAAGTTAAAGGTCTTAGAAATTATTAATTGCTACTCCGTAGTACGGAGTAGTTATTTTATTTTTTGAGTAGTTCCTCAGTCCCAAAATGAAATTCATAGTTTGGCTTCACGAGTTTATAGGTAGAATATGAAATAAAGTTAGTCTTTCAAAAATGCTCTTGGACGATTAAAAAGTGTAGCACTAAAATGACTATAATAAAAGGGGTACTTTATCGTGAAATGGGGGTGGTAACATACACAATTCAATGAAGTGACGAGAGGGTAAAATGGTAAATGAATAATAAAAACTTACCGAATAAATAGTAAATGAATAATAAAATTTAAATTGCATTGTTATTTATTCTTGTTCTTGCCAATAATATAAATGATGTGATTGTAAAAATATTGGTAATAATATTGGTAAATATATAAATTCATATTACTATTTAAGTAGTTATAAATAATAGTGGACAGATCAATATTTAGTAATAGTTTTACAGTTAAAATAATAGTGGACACCTCAATAATGTCTCTAATCGGATAAAAAAATACTTTATCAAATAAAAGTATTACAAGTCAGATAAAATATCTCTGAATACATACTCACTCCGCAACTAACCTCATTATTTCCAACCACCTCAATAATGTCTCTAGTCAGATATAAAAAATACTTTATCAGATAAGGTATTCTAAGTCAGACAAAGTATCTCTGAATACATACTCACCCACTTTGCAACTAACCTCTGTAAAACATATATTTTGATCGAAATTCGGGAGTCAAACACATATTCAATTTAAATGACAAATATTGTATGATTTTTAATTATGTTGATTGAGATACGATTTACATAAAAACAATCATAAAAAAATCGTTTAAAAGAGAAAAACAATCATAAAAAACTAATACTTGTAAAAAAGTAAAAACCCGGTGGGCCGTGGGCGTAGCTGAACTCAGGGTCGTCTAGAGCAATTATGAGGCCCTAGACGATCATATATTTTGTTCAAATGAAATATCAAATGAAACATAAGTGAATTAGATGAAATGCATCATATTATAAAAAAGATTATGTATAGTAGCGATCCATAGAGTTTTTTTTTGCAGCTAGCGATCCATAGAGTTAGCAAGCGATTTATACTCATGTTCTTTCTTAATTTGTTCTTTCTCTTTGTACATATTGAGACATGCTTTCTTTTTCTCGTCACCAATTTCATACAACTTTATACAATTTCTAACTAGATAAAGTTTTTCTAACTTTCAATATTCAATAATACAAGCACAATTAATCCATTGTAGAAATATACAACAAATTAAATGACTAGATTGAATTATTATTATTATTTGGATTTTGGTTTATTATAATAGATTGATACTATACACCCAATACTTAATAGCCTAGGCCCTACACCGCCTATTACCTACTGCCATAACCGATTAAGTAGTAAAATATTAATAATTAAAGGTAAACAAATTAAAAGATAAAACAATAAAATCAATAAAGGAAGGATTTGAAGCTGCCAGAAACAAAGAAAGACAAGAAAGAAATTACAAAAGTCGAAGACCATTATGGCATTACGGAAACAGATGCCTCGACTCTTCCGCATGTTTTTACTTGATATAGGAGATATTTTATCACAATTAACAATTTAAATTAAACATACATATATAATATATATGGGCTTACATAAAAAATTGGAGGCCCCAAGAATTTGGGGGCCCTAGACAATTGTCTAGGCTGCATGCCCCCATGGCCGGCCCTGGCTGAACTGGTAGTGAGGAAGTGCCACAAGTGTTAGGTCCTGGGTTCGACTCCCGGCAACTGCGATGAGAGGTTACTCAATTGAGGACTTTTGCAAGTACCGGGGACGGAGCCCCACTCTCTATCTATCATATTGTAATTATAGTTCAATTTACATTCTCCCATAATGATGTCCAGTCGGTGTTGAGGGACCCTTAGGGATGGGGTGTCATCTTTTTGTTTGTAAGAAAGTAAAAATTGAGGTAAGTTTAGCCCCCAAAATCCCTTTTGGTAGTGCTCTAACATCTATGAACAAATGAAAAAACATAAATATACTACGTACATTAGGTACATACACAAATCACAATTTTCGGACCTGCCAACTCCGTTTTACCCTATTCCGGAACGTACATTTTTTCGAATGCCATGTTGGAAATAGGGTGGTAAATTCGAATGCCAAAATTTGTGCTCGATTCGCGATTCGAATTCATATAAGACGATTCAAATTCGGAAAATTCAAATACAAATACAAATAAGAATATTAAATTTGATTCGAGTTGTTATCAAATACAAATATGAATATCAGTATATTCGATTCGAATATATTAATCAAATATATTCGATTAATAATAGTGGTAATATTAATAGTAATATTAATAATAATAGCAATAACACTATAATAACTTTTAAAAGATGGCAATACCCTCAAAGTGTAGCCATATATGCATTTATACATACAGATTCCAAGCCTATTTGTAGTAAATCGGAATATAAATACGAATGCAAATTAAATGTTTGGTTCAAATGTCTTTCATATACAATACCCATAATTTGGAAGAATAAAAATAGAGTCGTTTGACTTTAATATATACAATTATCAACTTATTTCACACATTATAAGTATAATTTCTAATATGTTTGTTAGTATTTATTTCAAAAATTTGAAATAGATTTATATTTATTAATCATAAAATTGATTCACTTTAGTATATTGTCCACAATCTAAAAATGCATTGATCAATTAAATTTATATTCTAAAAACACATATTAAGTCATAGCATGCATTTACAACATAAAAAGTATAAGAAATGTTATTTTAAAGTGATATTTGACTAATATTTGACGTATGTTCAAATCGATTCGATATTCGTGTATGATTTGTTAATTATTCATATTATTCAACAAATACAAATTCAAATAAAAAATAGTATTCGTTTCATATTTGAATTCGAATTCGTATTCGAAAAAATTAAACAAATACAAATACAAAATCTCACTATTCGACTCGATTCGATTCGTTTACAACCCTAGTTGGAAATGTGCACTTATCCGTCAAACAGCCTTACTTAGTAAGTACTTATTATTCTTTTCATAAATCATAAGGCTGCCTGCAAACCGGAAGGTGAAAAGGCAAATTTGATGCTTTCACCACTATATTTGGGGCAAACCAAGTATTTGTGGGTGTCAAACTTCGTTGGATAGGACGGATGTAGTGGAAATTTAGACGGTTCATTCATGGAGAGAAGATGCTACAGCGGCACACACGCATGGATTCTTCTTCAATAAATTAAATTCCCAACTATTTTATACATATTCAGTCTGTCAATTTAGTTTTTACTGCAATCTTGCACCATCAATATATTCAACCATCAAAGTTTTTCTTTAATTAAAAACCCCAAAATTTTTAAATGCATCATATCTTTTTAATTTGTATTCTAATTTTTAAAAAAAATATATCAAAATTCATAATTTTTTATTATCTTTCATATGACACTAATATCACATATATAAAGTTTAAAGAATAAAAATATGAAATTTCATCAGTTGGAGATTTTATGTTTATTTTTTAAAAGAGTAGATCCAAGTGCTAAAATTAAGGTCTCATGACAAAAATAACTTTTTACTATCTTTCGGGTATTTTTTCAAAACTTGCTATATTTTAACAATAAAAAAATTAAAACCTAAATTTATTTATTTTTACATCGAAATGTTCGTCTTTTAATATCTTATTTATTAGCAAAAAAATATTAACAAAAATTAATTTATAATAAAAGAAGGAAGGGTTTAATTAAAGAAAAACTTTGATGGTTGAATATATTGATGGTGCAAGATTGCAGTAAAAACTAAATTGACAGACTGAATATGTATAAAATAGTTGGGAATTTAATTTATTGAAGAAGAATCCATGCGTGTGTGCCGCTGTAGCATCTTCTCTCCATGAATGAACCGTCTAAATTCCCACTGCATCCGTCCTATCCAACGAAGTTTGACACCCACAAATACTTGGTTTGCAGCAAATATAGGGGTGAAAGCATCAAATTTGTCTTTTCACCTTCCCATTTGCAGGCAGCCTTATGATTTATGAAAAGGATAATAAGTACTTCGTACTAAGTAAGGGTGTTTGACGGATAAGTGCACATTTCCAATTAGGATTGTAAACGAATCGAATCGAGTTGAATAGTGTGATTTTGTATTTGTTTAATTTTTTCGAGAATTCGAAGTCAAAGTCAAACTGGATCAAAATGAAAATGATTGTACACTTTGATGAGAATTACAATGGTTGTAGAGAAAGCCACGGCGAGGCCCAAGCATAAATTAGGTACGGCGGCCGTCCTCGTCCGAACACTACTCTTCTCCTGCCTTTGAGATTCTTCTTCCCGTATTCCCCCCGAGAGCGGCGGCTGCACACGGCGGCTTCTACTCCCAAATTGCTCTTCCACGACTTCTAATTCAGCTTCTTCTGGTGGCAGTACACGGCGGCTAGTTATCTCCGATTGCGGTTCTAATTCTGCTGCGGAATCTTCTAATTCAGCTTCTTCTTCAGATTGTTCATCCACTACTGCTGCGGCCGCTTCCTCCTGTGTTCCCGGCGGAGGAAGGGGAAGCTCACGGCGGCAGAGGGGGCAGGAATTTTTAATCCTCAACCAGGGGAGAATGCAATCGGAGTGGTATAGGTGTTTGCAGGGCAACTCCCTGGCGTCGTCCCCGACCTGGAACTCTTCCTTGCAAACAGAACAGGCGTTGGAATCATCGTCTTTCAGGTGAGATGCGGTGACCGTCACCGTCGGGATTCTGTCAATAATTGCATCTGCTACGGCTGCCGTCTCACTTCCCTCCGTCAATTGATTGCTGGCCATATACAATAATCACAGCAGTAAATAACTACTCCGTAATACTGTAAAAATGTACGGAGTATGATGGAGAAGGTCACTTTTCCTTGAATTGCAATTTGGAAATTGGGAAAAGGTGTAAATAGGCTCATGTACTAACAAAAAAAAGTCAAAAAATTTCATCAAAAAATTCCACCGGGAACCACCCCAAATGGCGATGACCGGACAGAGCCTCCTAAATAAGGGTTTATTTGATTTTTTTTGTTAGTACATGAGTCTATTTGCACCTTTTCCCTTGCGAATTTTAGGATTATCTAAGGATAAAATTTAAAAAATCTTCGTGCATAATTAAATAGATTTTAATAATTAAAATTTATATATATTCAGAAACTACATTCTACGGTATTATTCAATATTCTATAATTCTATTATTTTAAGAGAATAATAATATAGTCCATAACTCCTCAAATTCAGCCGTTTGATACATCAATTTCAACATATTAAGCAGATTTAACGTGTTTGTAACAAGTTGGCTATTATTATGGAGTATGGGACCGAACTACATCTTGTAAAATTAAGTACTTGCAACTTGCAATTCATGGTGTACTCATTTATTACATGCTCAGTATAAGTGGTTAAAGAAGTATTCATAACACTTTCATTAATTTAATCAATCATTAATTCAAATATACAAATTTATGTGAAATATATAGTGGATAGAAGATTTGTTAAAGAATGTTAAAAAAATCATGCCATTCCAAAGTTGTGCAAATTTGAAGATATTTATGCCGGAACGGCCGCAATACGCATCATAGCAGCAACATTAATCGCAATCATGTGACCGCAATCAGTAGTGCAATCGCAACCGCAATAACAAGAGAGGACATATGTAACATTATTCCCATATAATGCTCGTAATAAACATAGAACATCACCTTAATAATTCTCTATCATATAAAGCCATTGCTAACAACAACGCTAGGATCGACAGTTCCGGTCTGCTCCTAGGTTGGCTCGTAGACTCCTCATCATATGCCGGAACCGCTACCACTCTCCGATTAAAAATTCGGGTGGCGGAGCACCGTGGGCAGGTGGTTATAGCGGCCGGCGAAATGTGGTCGTATGTGGTCGGGATGTCCGTTTCCCAAGAGCATTCGGCACACCAAAATTGTCGCCCAAGGTGTGGCATATTTTTGTCTAAGGAAGATTAAAGTACGTAGTAGTTGTTTTGCATATATATATATAGTGCAGAAAGACGGAAAGAAAGAACTAAGGACATTATTCTCATTCTTTGATTTCTTTCTTCATCACCATCTTCAATACTTCTCCCCAAATTAAAGAAAGGGATGGACGGACCATGGATGATAAAATGCTTTAATCTTATGCGGAGTGCTTTATATTTATAAAAAGTTTCGGCCTCTCTCAAACTACCTAATCAATAAATCAAGTTATCAAGATATGCTTGAGTGATCACTACAACATTTTGACTCCTACTGTATCACCCAAAAGTGTTAAATTAGAGAAAATGTAACATTTTTTGCCATTACATTTGCTCATGTTGTATTTGACCTATTGTAATATTTTATAGTCCCTAAGGTAAAATTTATACTTCTAGAAAGTGTTACATTAGATCTAAAAATTGTTACATTAAAGAAATATGTAACACTTGTAAAAGGATTTAGAGACAAGAACTATAGACTTTGGTTCTTATTTTGGCAGCGGATTAATTGTTGTCCAAACATTTCCCCCTCACTCATTTTACCAAAAATTATAAGGAGTCTCATTGACTCTTCTATGGAATCATTGGCCTCTTTATAATCACTCATTTTTATATAGTGGGAGATCTCAGTCTAAAAATGAATGGGTACGATTAGACCATATTCATAACGAAATCGTATGTATCTGCATTAAATTTACCAAAATAAAATGGAGTATTATTCAACACAACCACTAACATAATCATAGTTACAACCCGTTCAAGATACATACAAAGCTTCAACACCGACCAGATAAGTCCACACAAAAGAAGAGTCTCTCAATAGCACTAGTGACAATAGCTTGTATAGTGGTTCGACTAAAGTGACATCAAATTTTTCTCTTTTATTATTTAAAAAACGAAATCCTAGATCATATAATTTTCATATGATTTTCTAGAATAAAATAATCGAGATAGAAATCATGTTATCTTGAGTTTGGATTTTAGATAGTACTGTTTTCTTCTTCTCCTCCAATTTACGCCTAAGAACTAACACAATTTGACCGTTTAATAACCGGGGCATTAATATACCGCCTAAGTATTAGGAGTACTATTATGTTTTGCGAGGGGAAACGGAATACTATCTTTTTGATCATCCACTACGGGGATGGTAGATCATGTATCATACTTAGAAGTTTGAAGTAATCTTGAAAAATTAAAAAATCACACAAAAGTATCTTTAGAGAACTTTAATTTTTAAATATTTCTTATTTGTTCAAAGTGTTACATATATGTGTAATGTGTTGCACTTATTTGGAACATATATTCATGGCTCCCTTTATTCCAATTGTTTTTTTGGTGATCGAAATTGTTATCAATACTTAAATTGTTATTAATAATAAAAAATTATATAATTAAAAAATAACTAAAAGTTATGATGCATTCGATAAATCGAAATTAAACATAATAAAAGTTTGAAATATAAAATCAAAGTGGATTAAGGGAAATGTAACTTTGGAGATTTATACAAAAATGCCCTCCATTGATAATTCTGTTGGCCTTCACAACATATTTCTGATCGAGGGGCGTTTTTGTCTTTTCATAAGGGGTTGGGGGATATAAATACAAAGTCTAATTAAAACAATAAAATGGAGTTTTTTCATTGATAGTAACCATAGTGATATTATATGATGTTTTATGAATAACAATGACATAAAAATAATGATTAAAATAGTAAAAGTATTCATAATTAATTTTAAAGGAAGCAACCTTCAATAATAACCTACAAAATAATTTGATCAAATCAGAAACATCATAATAGTAAAAGTAATAAATTATTTTTGAACCTTTCTAATTTGATCTGAGTGTTTCCGGGCTAATCTAAATTTTTCTGATTTAATCTGGTTTGTTTTGAATATTTTGGTCTTATCTAATTGTCTTATCTAGTCTGAATAATGCACATTTAAAGTTGTAAATGTGTACTTCCCATAATGTACATTTAAATTCAAATTTTACTATATATCTGTTATATCATTGATTTATAGCTCAATGTAATTATCTATTGTCATTGAAAAGCGTAATTGTTTCTCTCTGTTTATATTAACTTTTCAAGAAATCAGTATTAATGATTATATAATTAGAAAAATAAATTAATTGAAAATTGAAAAATGTTGTATATGCTAAAAGAATTGAATACTATTAAATAATCTAGAGTGAATAAAATTGTTTTGTATGAGGTGATTGATGGTACCTTTCATGATTTTATTATAAAAGGCGATCATTTATATTCAAAAAAAATCTAGAGCGAAATAATGATATTCCATATATGAAATGTAATCAAAGACGCAACTAACCACATAAAAGTACCAAATTATTCTTTTGAATAAAACTTACGAAATCAAAAACTTAAAAAATTTGTGGCGGTTGTTAGGGTCAAAACCGCCACGCATGTCACTAAAAGTTGAAATTTGCGGCGGTTCTTAGAAAATAACTGCCGTGTTTGTTCATAAAAAACTATTGAAACGTGTGGCGGTTATTAATTAAAAACCGCCGCGAATTTAAAATTTTAACTTTTGCGGCAGTTCTCCCCGAAATAACCGTCGCGCGTGAAAAATTCGTGACACATTTGTTTGTGGCGGCTATAACCGCTGCGCATAGCCCTTTAAAACCGCCACAATAAAGAGGTAATTTGAGTTTGCACTCCATTTTATTGTATAGAGTATCATCTCCACATGGACGGAAAAAGGAAATCAAGTATTAAATAAATTTAGCGATTAAAATAAATAAAATGAATGTGAATGTGCGAGATATAGATTTGAGGAAATTAATTAATGTGAAAATAAAGTAAACTAAAGGGCTCTTCTCAATTAATGACGGAAGGGAAATGGATTGATTACGGGGGCAACCAGATTTTGGGGCTGATCAGGCTTAAGCACATGAAAATTTTTTAATTGAGCAATGCAGGTCAATGCTATGTTATTACCGCTCTCGTGGCGTAGAGTACAATAATCTAGAAAACCAGACTAACCTCTCATGCGACAAGTTTCTAAACTATTAGCAAAATGAGCAAGCGTACGACCCCCTAATTCCTACTAATCTCTTAGTAAACGATTAAGTGTGCGAACGTGTCCTAGAATAAATTAGATCTCTCTTAGTTCATTATATGTCCGATTATAATCCTAGTGGTCATTATTATCCTAGTTACAAAATATATCAAATAAATTATTCAAATACAAATTAATTAAATAATCATGCATTTAAACCCTCAAGACTCTAACCCTAGAGTGCTTTTTAAGGAGGTGTGGGCGGCTGCAGCCTTTGAAAACATATTCAAGGCTCAAGAAACAATAATCGTGTCTTCTATGAATGATCTAGAGCAGTATTGTCTCATTCCTGCAATTGAGGAGGAGGTCGAAGGTTAGTTTCTGGCAAATCAACATGGATAGAGGGCAGTGGTGGTAGTGGATGCGGAACGGGTGACGAGAAGACGGGGAGAGGTGAAGGGCTGAGCAAGGGAGAAGACAGATCGGCGGTTCGTCCCCCTCCTGAACCGCCGCCTTGGAACAATCGAGGTGCTAGGATTTAGAAGATTTATCAGTTATTTAATTTTTATGGTTGTATTTTCGCATTATGTTTTATGTTGCTTTGTTTTTTGTTGATGTCTTTAGTTTTAGGTTTACAATTATGATTGACAATTCTGCTAGATATTATGTCGTTAGAATGATCTATATGGCCAGTGATTGTTGTGTCACACCCGCTTGGTGGTAGCGATTCGTATTGTTCTCTCAGGGGTAATCGTCTCTGAGTCTAGCCGTAGGGTTGATAGTGCTAGTTGGTTAAGGATAGTTGTTGTCAGTGTTGGTCTTTTTGAGTCTGTTGTACGATCCGGTTCTTAATGATATCAATATAAGTGGTTTGTTTTTATGATAAAAAAACCTAGATCATGATTAACACTCTCCTCATGAATCCCCAAATCCCTAATTAAATCTACTCACAATTCATAATTGAAAGATTAATAAAATTGAGAAGGAAAGAATTAACTGTCATTAGTTAAAAAACCAGAACTTACAAATAATCCCAAAATATTAAAGACCCAAGGTTGAAAAACCTCTCAAATGTTCTTCCCAGGCACTCTCTATAAACTCTGTCCCAAAAAACAAGAGGCGGTTTAAATAGAAAAGAAATGAATTCGGGTCAAAAAAGAATTGTTGGACGCACGCAATGCGTAGCGTTCATGCGTCCGGAAAAAAAATAGCGGAAAAAGTGCGCCGTGCTCCTCTACCGTTCGAATTTGACTATGTTTCCTTCACCATAGTTGTAGCTAAAGAATTCCTCTATCCACCACAACTTGCTAATAAACTAGAATTGGATTATCCAAGAAAAGGCTATGAATAAATTGGTGGAAGTTCACATCCTGAAATTTCAACAGCAATTATCTGACTTACTCGTGTGTTTTCACCTTGATCCTCTCACATTCTCGTCATGGTATCTTCATACAATTTGTATCCCAATGAATTGTCTTTCATATTAAACTTGATTCATGTCAATGGAGTTTTGTACGAAAAAATATGTTAAAACGATTGACAGAATGTCATTTTGATCTTCGTTTTCAAGCTCTATTCGTCCTCGTTTGATCCCGTATGTAATCCTTTAGCTTCTTTGACTGCAAAATCACTCCTTTTATGACTCGTGGACCTTCAATACTTCTCAATAACTCTCAGATGTGTCTCGTATCCTCTCGAATAATTCTCCCACAGTGATGTCGAGCTCAATTTCGTGATTTTAATTCTAAAAACAACAAATCCAAACCAAGATCCGGTAAAGTATAATTTGAGCTAGTTAGGTGCTTTGTGACACATTTAAGCTAAGAAAATTAATAAAAATCAATCCCAACACTCATCAAATTCGTGTCGAATATATGGACTTATTAACTTTGCACCCCGTCTTTAAACAACTTTGTACTTGCACCCCCCCCCCCCCCACGTTGTATGAAAAGACAAAAATGTCTCTCCATTAACAATTTTGTTGGTCTTCAACATATTCTTGATCGAGACATTGTTTGGCACAGTTTTGATGTAGCTTTCTTTGCCAAAAAAAGGAAATAAGAAAAATGTGAAATTTATTTTAGATCGTCCCAAAAAGGAAAGTGTGAAGTTTTTTATAAACCGGAAGGAGTATTTTATTACAAGTGAAAGACCAGACACACTTAACTGCGCCTTCAACCATGCTATCATTCCCCAAGCTTAATTTAAATCACCTAAAAACAAAAACAATTTCTAGCCGTTATTGTCTTCTCTCTCCTACTCCCAGCTTCCGGCTTCTCAATTTCCCGTCTGCTGATCTTTATTGTCTTCGATCACGATTTCTTGATTTTCTGCAGACCTTATCATCATAGTTTTTCTCAGGAAAAATATGAACTCTGTGAAGGGAAAGCTACTGAAGAAATTGAAGACGATAAAAACAATTGGGTATTTGAGGCCAGAGAGTATCACCCTTCAAGAAAAAGAATCCAAGAAGAATCTTCAACCCACAGTGGAAGAGTGTCCGGAAATCAATGATGTTCCTGGGCTGATGGGAGGTGAGGAAATGGCGGGTCTTCATAATGGATTCGACGACAAAGAAAACATTAGGCCGAAATTGAGTTATTCGAAGCCCAAGATTGAAGCTTTTGGGGGTAAACCCTTGCCTGAAAATGATGTGACGATTTTCCGGCGACCTGATATGGATTCCGCCACTCTATTCGACCCCAACCTTCTTGCAGCTTTTGAGCAGGCAGTGATTGCAGTAAAAGCGTTGGAAGCGGAGAGAATGGCAGTAATTGAAGAAACAATAGATCAGATAATCAAAGAAGAAGAAGAAGAACAAAATGGAGCGGTATTTTCGGAATTTGAAGAAAGATGCCCTCCGGGAGGCTCTGATTCGGTTATTCTTTACACAACAGGGCTTAGAGGGATCAGGAAGACGTTCGAGGACTGCCAAAGGATTCGGTTCCTTCTCCAAAACTTTCAGGTTACGTTTTTCGAGAGGGACGTTTCTATGCATAGAGAGTACAAGGAAGAACTATGGAGGGTTATGGAGGGAAAAGTGGCTCCCCCAAGGCTGTTCATTAAGGGAAGGTACATAGGGGGAGCTGAAGAAGTGGTGGGGTTGCATGAAAAGGGGATGTTTAAGCCCCTTCTTAAAGGCATTCCACTTGATGTGTCTCCAGGTCAGTGTGATGGTTGTGGTGGGCTTAGGTTTGTTTTGTGTTTCAACTGCAATGGAAGCACAAAAGTTCTCGATGATAGTGGCGGCGATGATGGTGGAGATAGGGGTGGTGAGTCAGTCAGATGTCCAGCTTGTAATGAGAATGGGCTTCTTGTATGCACCTTGTGTTCTTTGAGTTGAAGTTTGAATTCATTCATTGTTCACATCCACCACTATGATGTAACTTCTGTATACATTTTGGTTAGTTAGTGTTTCTTCATTGTTACTGTAATATTTGGTTCATTTTATTTATTCATTTATAGATAAGCTATATACAATCTATGTAATTTTTTTATATGAAACCTTATCATCCAATATATTTGTAAACAGCTAGCCTCAAAAGTGTGTTATTAATTACGTAGTATATACAACTTTTGTTTCAATTGTTAGAAAATAGTTATGCAAAAGGTTTTTGTAAATTAAACAAAAAGATACTACAGATGGTGTGTGGTTATGAAAATACGAGAAACATTGCACTATTCTTTTGCCTTATTATTGGCTATTAAAGCTGAAGTATAGAAGACTTGGACAGTTGGTTAAACTGTTGGAGATTGGAATGATTCTTACAATCTGGAATTCTGGATTACACTTCAAAAGCTAAATTGTTCCTCAAAACAAGCTTGTTAACTTATCAGCTTTGGCCTGATAACTTCTAACTTATAATCGAGAAGTTAGTTTATTTCTTTTTTGGTAATATTAGATGATAAACTAGCTTTGAAATGCAAAATGACATGAAGAGGGCCAGAAGGTTTGTTTAAAAAAAATTAATACAAAAAAAAAGATTAAAATGAAAAGGCTCAAGTGACTTATTTGAAAAACTTTCATTAAAACTTAAAAGCTAATGACAATCTTTAAGCAAAATCATGTCAGAGATAGCCTTAATGACATTAATAAACTGGGTACCAAGATTTCATTTCATTTCACTTCGTTTACAGGGGATTTAGCTTCCTATGAATCTCTTATACGCCCCATGCCCTAACAGTGCTTGTTTCAGGCTTGAGCTTATTCAAATTAATTCTGCTGATATTTGATAAAAACAATCCTTTTACTGAGGTGCTTTGACAAAATTATTTTAAGTGATATAAGAACCTCAGTGATTAATTTTAGATGTATTACTTTAGAACAACTGTGTGAAACATTTTTTATTATCATTTAAATACAACAAAATCAATACCAAATCCTATTTGATTTAAAATATTCTCCGCAACAAAAAACCTAACTCATTACAATTAGAATAATTACTCACCATTAGAATTAGAAAAATCATTTTGCCAACCACCCTTATGGCTTTAAGTGAGCATACATTACTTCATACGAGTACAACAAGGGAGTTTTAGTGAACAAAGGATGTATTTAACTCATTGCACAACAAATACCAACTGCAAATACAATGATTACAACTGTACCAGTTTCTAGATCAGAGAAGCAAATGCAGACACATACACACAAAAGATACATAATAGGTTACAAGACACTAACATCAGTCAATGACAACTAGTCATTCAGCCACCTTCACACCTGTCAAGTAGACTTGGCACTGGATGATGCTTCCCTCGATGTAAAAACCGGGCATAACCATCAGCCCAACCTTGGGTTTGAACTCGGCGTCTTCAACAATGAAGTTTTTCACAACACTATCCATGTAAACTTCTGAGAACTCGCTTCCCTTCTTGACCTGAAAAACCTTAACAGGAGGATCAAATGAAAATGCCAGCCTATGCAAGAGCCAGATTGACTTTGCCAGCTTTAGAAAAGCCTGATAGAAAGCTGTTCTCGGGTGTCCACCCCCAATTATAAAGTTCCGCTGATCCAAGTTCCCAAAAAATGAGGCCTCCATCTTTGGATGAAGAACTGCAAGGTATTTGGTTCTGCAGAATTTTCCAAAAGCGGAATCTGGTTTTTGGCCCACAGCATCTAGTGGATCCATTTCCATTAATGCAGTATACTGTTCATAGAAACTTTCCTTTACGGTTTCTGGATCCTCTGGTTTCATGGAGAAGAATTCATCCTGAAACCCAATGAACATTTTGTGAGAAATGTTTGATTCAAATGCATATTTCTTGTGAGCTCGTTTCCCATATACAACATCTGACTCAATTGAATGTGCTGCAGCATCAAGATCCCATCCTGCTGCTTTCATCATGTTGATCACTGGTTTGGAAAAATCATGAACAGCTTGATATGCAGATTCCACAGCAGATTTGAAAAGATCAGGTGTTAGATCAACCACAGGAATGAATCCGTTTCCGGAACTTTCTTTTGCTGATAAGCCCCTGAGCTTTAGGTTTTTCTCAAGTTTGACTCGTTTCTGATTCGCCTCTTGAATCTGCTGTTGCAATTGAACAATCTCAGAATCTTTGTTCTGTATCTCAGATTGAAATTTCTTGACCATCACCTCATACGTTTTCAACAGGTTCTGCTGTTCTTGTATTTCTGCAGCCAAACGGGAATCCTGAGGAGAAACACATACGGGCTTAGGGTTGTGTTCCCTGTAGAAGTGTTTGAGTTCTGATAGGGTCTTTAGCTCTGAGATCACAAGTTTATCAGCAACTTGGATCTTGTCAGGGTCATAAGGAGTGTGGGCGGATTGGAGTTGGATGTAAGCTGATTTGAGTGAGGATACATTTGTGAAAATCTTGGAAATTATAGCATCCACTGCTTCTGGTTTTTTATTATTCGTAGAATCTTCCATGGGCTGTGGGTGGACCTTCTGGCTGTTGCTCTCACGGAGTTGAGGATCTTTTGCCCCAATTGGTTGCATAGCTACTTGCAAAGCTGCAATGATGGAATTAATCTATCTGTTTTGGGGATTTATTTAACCTGTAACACCAGACACTCAGACATCATAATGGTAAACTACATGTGTAATAATAATGCCAACATCATCAAATATAAGATTTATAACTGAAATTTCATTCCTCCTTTTCTCTTCAACACAACAAAAGCAGGAAAAAAGGTCATGACTAAACAAAATTTTATAATAACTCATCTCAACAGCCATTAAACAAAACAAGACAATGTAAGATAATGTCTGATCTCAATCATTCATTACCTACTAATATTATCTCACTAATTTCCTTTTCAGGCATCTTATCCCATTTTAAGCTCTCCTAAACAAAACAAAAGAACTTCAAAGGTTCCAGTTCAATCAGGGAAGAATTTTGACTATATTACCTCAATCCACACAATCGACCAAGAAAAAAATCATGAAAGCACTATTATAAGCAAGATTCCATTGATTCCAAAAACCACTTGTTCTGCCAAAAAGATGTTTCAGTCCACATGCAGGGGCTGTTCAGTGTTAAATTAGGTCCACTAACTTGCTACGTCATAATCCATAAAACAGCAAATCTGGCTAACAATAATTGTAAGTTCAGCATCACTCGTAAAAAGTGAATAAAAAACTCATTAAAGCCAACATATTCATTGCTCCTAAACACTTGATTTCACTCTAAACCCAACAAAATCCGAACTTAACTTCATATTGACAAAATACTTAACCCTGCACTCAGATCTGTTCCTATAGAGTTCAAATTAGGGCTTTGGTGCAACAACAAAATGCTCGGACTTCGAGCAATACTTGCTTTACGCACACCAAATTGACCCATACATCTCAACATTTCGAAGATCATGTTTAGTTTGCAAATGGTTTAAAGGGCACTGAAGTTGATTTAAAAATAAAGGAGCAAGTACGAAAAGGAGAAGAGCCCGCGTTGGTACTCACCATCACTAGAGAGCTGAATAAAGAGAGGTGGGCATGAAAACTGAGTTGAAGATGGAACCGGCCGTAGAGAAGTACCGATAACAAATTGCCCTGTAATCTGGAAATGGGAGACGTATACGGTATACCCCGTGAAGTGCCGGCGGCAAGAAAGTGACCAGCTAGGAGAAGTGGAGACCCGAATGCGGAGGTTTCATTTGGTCCGTTCTTTATACTCCGTATATACGGGTTTGTACATCCTGCGGATGAATAAATTATTAAATCAGGAGTAATAGGCTTATCTCCACCTAAGAATGTGTACACAAAAAATGTAGATTTTGGTGCCAGCTTTCAAATACAAAAATTCCTTTTGTACACGTTTTTGTACCCATCAGTACACGCATGTGTCTGTGAGAGTTTTTTTTTGTCTGTGAAGTGCGGTCCACAGACAAAAGCTGGTTTGTTTTGTCTGTGAAATTTTCCACAGACAAAACAAGCGAACTTATGTCTGTGGACCGCGCTTCACAGACAAAAAAAAACTCTCACAGACACATGCGTGTACTGATGGGTACAAAAACGTGTACACCAAGAATGGTTGTTTCAAATATGTTGTGGGCACCCCTTTTGTTTTAAGATAGGACAAATATGTCTTATGTACGAATGTACGATAGTACGTAGTATTTTACTAATATGAAGAGATCATTTCGTTTTGCGATTTATCAGGTTTATCAGCCAACTTTTTCACTAAACACGTATTTTTTGCTTTCACGTACAGAATTGTGTAATAAGCAGGAAAAATTAAGGTTGAAGTTACTTTTTGAGCCCATTTGGTAGTACGAAAATCGGTTGGTTTGACTGATTCTGCTGAAATATATGAAGTTCTGCCTGAAGTTGCTGCATTGGCTGATTCTGCTGATTTAAGAAAAAATTATTTTTAAAATATATTTAATTATTAAAATAAAGAAAAAATTATATGTAAAAATAGTTAAAATGTTCATCTACAGTAACTTCAGCCAACACAGCCAGAAAAGTAACCTCAACCTTACTTTTTCTGCTTATTATACAATTCAGCGCGCGAAAGCAAGAATTACATGTTTGGTGAAAAGGTTAGCTGATAAGCCTGATAAGCCGAAAAAAAGTGTTGCCAAACGGCCTGTTTCTGGTTGTATTGGCTGAAGTTACTGTACAATTACCATTTTAGCTCTTTTACATATTTTTTTCTTTATTTTATTATAAAATATATTTTAAAAATAATTTTTTCTTAAATCAGCAGAATCAGCTAATGCAACCATTTCAGCCAGAACTTCATAAATTTCAACAGAATGAACCAAAATAGCCGATTCTCGTGCTACCAAATGGGCTCTAAGTATAATATGTCACTTCATTGATTTTTTACTATTTCCGTCCCATATTAAACGTCTTGTTTTAGTTTTTCACGATTATTAATAAAATGATTGAAAAGAAAAAATGAGTTAATAAATAAGTAGAGAAAAGTGAAATGATATGAACCACATATTTCGTGATAAAAAGGAAATGTGATGTTCATTTTAAGACGATCCAAACAGAAAAGTAAGACAATGATTTTTAATTCTTTGTAAATGAAAGTGTTTGTGATCCTTAGAAATGAATTGTCTGTGTACAGACAGTTCGGATCACAAACACTTTCCTAGACAAAAATTAAAAATCAAGTGTCTATACACAGACAATTACACTTGGACGTATAATACAACATGTACAAGTAGCATTTTTATTTTTAACAGAAAATGTGTAATTTTTGCATATGGATTCATACCAAATACTACGTATAATGTAATGCTCATATACGTGGATTTTAAAAATCAATATTACTTGTAATCAAGTAACTTACAAGCTTTTTTTAGTCGAGTTTGTATATAACTTGACTTAATTTAAGTCAAGTCCAAGTACGAGCTAAGTTTGAAATTGAGTCGAATTAAACTCAAATAAAAACCCGCAGTCAATTTTGAATCACTTGCAAGCTAGTTTCAAAATCACCCTAGATACCACATGCACCAAAGACTATCTATTCCTTAGTAACAAAAATGCTTACTTAGTCTTTTATTACCACACAATGAATTTAATTGGCAAACAAAAATAACACACATACAACTCATTGATAATCAAAAGCTTTCTGTCTGGTTCTTTCATTGCCCAAAACTCAATTCACCGACAAGTCCACAACAATCCATAGGGTGAATGCACGTAATATAACTAGCATCCTTAAAATGAGCTAAACCATATATAGAACATCCGTTGAAGGATGGAAATAAACAGGTGGGGGGGTATATGGATGACTAAGATACAGGGAAAAAGGTAGGGAAAGATACGAAGGAAAAAGAAATGAACTGGGAATGGGTGGTAGGAGATGGAGAGGAGCTGGACTCGTCCAATTTATTCACAACGGTTTTGACAACTGACTGGCAGCTGCTAGTTCTCAGTAATCTCTCCACAATCTTCGATCACAACCTCTGCAGAAGGGTTCCCTTGAGGCGAACCAACGCGCTCCATGGCTTTAACAACAGTGCTATACCCATCAACCACCTTCCCAAACACAACATGCTTCCCATCAAGCCAAGTTGTCCTATCGGTGGTGATAAAGAACTGGGACCCATTCGTGTTTGCCCCAGCATTTGCCATCGATAGAAGACCGGGTTCAGTGTGCTTCAGCTTGAAGTTCTCATCATCAAACTTCGCTCCATATATCGACTCTCCACCTGTTCCATTGCCTTTTGTGAAATCCCCGCCTTGGCACATGAAGCCCGGAATAATGCGGTGGAATTGAGAGCCCTTGTAATGTAAGGGTTTCCCAGATTTTCCGATTCCTTTCTCTCCTGTGCACAGAGCGCGAAAGTTTTCTGCGGTTTTGGGGGTCACGTCTGAAAATAGCTCCATTACTATTCTTCCTGCCTTGCATTTTTTCACTGCTATGTCAAAGAAAACCTTTGGATTTTTTGCCATTTTAAACCTGACAATGAATTGACAAAAAAAAACTGAAATTTTCAACAAACAAGACAACAAATCTTTGACATAACTACTAGGGGTGTTCAGCCCAGGCCCCAGGGGCCATTTAAAATTAAAAAAAAGTGTTCTAAAGTTTGTAATACTCACCCTGCCACCAACAAAACATGTTCCTGATTCATTTATATAGAGTTAACTCTGATTAATACGGAGTATTAAATTAGAAGTAAAGTATTAAGAATACATTACAGCTTGTGCAAAACAGCAAAATAGAAATCAAATATGATTAAAGTTAGATAGACGAAATCAAACATCAAGGGCATGTTGAATGGACTGCAGGAACAAAACAAGAACAGAATTGTGGGAAGGCTGTTATATAAAAATGCATTATTGCTTTTACCTAACGTACATAGCTAGAAAAATATGCTTATCACCAATGAACATGTTTCAAAGAGTCCATTTTCTGCTCTAGGATCATTACTAACACAGAAATTCGGCACAATTACCTATTGTAAATAATAAGCTCAATAAACTATCAAAACATATACCAACAGAGGCTGGACAGCAATTTCAACTGAAGAATTCTTATTAAAAGTTCAAAACCAGGAATAAAGAACACTACTCGAAAATCTTCAAGTTCCTGGTGAAATCAGCTAAACTGCAAATCTACCAATAAGTGCAAAATGGGGTTAACATCTATGTTGTTGATTTGGAACTAAAACCAATACTGATTAAATTGAAATAACTCCAAATTGCCTCACATCCTATCCATACAAGACTACTAGACCTACACTGCCAATTACAAAAAACGAAAAAAAAAATGTTCATTTTATAATGAATTATCCTCCATCAAATCAAGAATTGTTGATCAAGAGGACATTAAAAACCAAAATGAATGATTTTTTTTTGCACAGTTTTTGAGCTTCACTGGGTTTCATCAAGCCCCCATCAAGCCTTCGATATGTGCTTCAAATACCAAAATAACTTTAACACAAGGAGAAGAATGCAGTACCTTCGGGGGGAAGAAGAGAGTAGAGCAGTAGATTGCGTGAAGGGTTTTAGCCTTTAGGGTTTTACAGGGGCAGACAGTGGTTACATGCTTATATATATATAGGGAAAAGGTGCAAATAGGACCATGTACTAATAAAAAAAGGTCAAATAAGCCCTTATTTAGGAGGCTCTGTCCGGCCGTCGCCATTTGGGGTGGTTTTCAAGAGAATTTTTTGATGAATTTTTTTGAGCAACTTATTCATTAAGTCTAGTTTACTCATACCAAATTTCAGCTAAAACTTCAATCGGAAAGGCATTCAAATGAATTCGTGAAAATAACTGCGCAGATAGAAGCGCAGTTATCTTCAAGAATTCATTTGAATGTCTTCCCGATTGAATTTTTAGCTAAAATTTGGTATGAGTAAACTAGACTCGATGAACAAGATTCTCAAAAAAAAATCATCAAAAAATTCCACCGGGAACCACCCCAAATGACGACGGCCGGACAAAGCCTCCTAAATAAGGACTTATTTGACCTTTTTTTGTTAGTACATGAGCCTATTTGCACCTTTTCCCTATATATATATATATATCTTATCTTAAAAGCTTATAATGTTCAATGAGGGTTAGGGCATTTTAGGAATGAAAAACATGTTGGTGTAATCATCTAGCTTAGTCATGTTGTACACTGTGTTTCACAATATGTACTTTATTAAGAGAACTTATTTATCCGTTTAGTTTCCGTCTGATCCATTCCATTTACATTTTGTTATCGTTAAGTTGAATAGACCCCCGTTTACTTTCCGTCTGGTTGCTTCCCTCTGCTTTTGTTATCGTCATATTCTTCGCCCGTTCCTAACTATCACGCAGGTGGCCGGTCCATCTGCGCTTTAACCGTCGTCCGGATCTGCTCCAATCGTTTCCGTGTTGTCGCGTCATCCGTCTAGCCGTCAAGGTATATTTCCACTCCGTTTCTCCGTTTCTTGCTAGCTAGACTCTGTAATCCCCTTCGTTGTCCAGGTGTTGGAGTAGATTTAGTGTAAAAGGCCAAAATTGAATGGTTCGTATAGTGTGAATAAGGGAACTGAGTTGAAACGTGAACCAAAGTTAACAAATTGCAGGTAGATGGAGCTGATATTTAGCCATATTATCCAGAATGGGCAATTTCTTCTGAAGCCACCCACCCAGCCCTCATTTTTGGATTGACAGTGTGTTCATATTTTCCCAGGGATAGTTATTCCCTCCAGTCTTATCCCCCCAAAAGAATAAATATTTTTTATTGTGATAGAAATAACCCCTTTAGTATTATCCCCCAAAAGGTAATTTGCAGCTGCCAACACCCAATGATAGCAAAATGCGGTCTGGTATTAGACTTGCCTGATATAGTAGCCTTTCCTGATATAATACTCTTTGGGAAGGTTGCACTAACAACTTTATGTGTCTGAGGGACCCCAACCACATTTTTTAGTTGGAAATCTGCAAAATAAAGTGAAAGAGATTGTGGAATGTAATGAAAGCCTCAGGCTTCCTAAAATTCAGAAGCTACTTAACCTCAACTTATTGTTTATCTCATTAACTCTTCCTCTTGAAATTTTATAACCTTTTTGGTGATTAATTATTAAACTCTAAATAATGTGTATATCTAAGGTGGAATCAAATGAATTACGCTGAAACAAACATTGTACATCATCTTGGAGCTGTAGTGATCTGGGCGTGCTTTTCTTAGAATAATCTTCATTTTTTTAAAAGTAAAGAAGTAGAAGAGCATAGTGTGTTATTTTGCCTTTTCAAAATGTTTCAAAACTGTAAGCAAAACAACAATTTTTGCACACCTATGTGCTTCCATACATCAGCACTATTTAGGTCTTGAAGAAGCAGATTCTAAATGCTTGTAAAGATGTACAAGTCAAATAAATATGAACCTATAGCCTCAATTTGCATTAAGTTAGTAAGTTATGGGTTACCTTCGTGTCAAGCATCCAATTTCAATTTAATCTCAAAAATTATTTTGAGAGACTTAGAGTAGGGCTGTCAAACTCCAGTTTGGATGTTCTAAATTACATTCATAGGTTTATTTTTTGAAATCCAATCAAAAGCTTACAGGAAAGAGAACTCCTAAATCTGAGTGCACAAGAACAACGGGATACTCCAAAATATGTAAAAACATCTAAATTCCTATGATCTATTTCAAGTTTAAACCTCTCCGTATATCTACCAAAAAATTGAATCAACTCACTGAACGCACAAGAACTCCGGGGTATCTCCCAGTTTTGAGACGAGCGCAAAGCCAATATGAAGGACCCTTCTATACTTGCTAGAGGGTTGATGAGTGGTTCTCTTTCATGTTTTTAAAAATGCTTTTACATTATATTTTCTGAAGCCTAATGTATTTCATGCTATTAGTAAGGAGCATGCTTTAACTCTTGACAAAGTTACAATTCATATATAGAAAGAGTTTGTGTATTCAATTTCTCGAATTTATAGTTAGATATTCCATTTTGAACCTTTTATGAGACAGATAATAATATACTACACATATATTTGGCTATTTGGGTATCTATGCATTATTAACTTCGTCTGTTGTCTGTTGAGGCTATCCTGTGGTGCCTGTGAGGCTAGGCCGCCAGAGTGATTTTCCCCTTTTATTGAGGCCAAATTTATCAAAGAGGAGTCCATCACAGCAATTAATTGTTGGGGACAACTTGCCAATGAGCATGAGAGTATCATTGCAACATTAACTAATTATATCCTGCCTCTTTCTTTAAGTGTTCCATTATTTTATCATTTTTACATTTTATTTTAAAATAAAATGAAAGAGACCCCATATATATAGTATACAGTTTTTATTTTTCCTAAATTTTTAATGCTTGATCTTTTTTCTTTCCGGATTTATATAGATTATAAAAATACTTCAATTATTGGGGAGGTTATTTTGAGGTGTGTTCTAGGTTGGATTTTTTCAGGATTATATCACTCATATATCATTGCTACTGATTGTCAAGCTCTCTGCTTAGCTCATATGCATGCTTAGTAACGGGGAAACATTACACATGGTACCTAAATCATATTAGGTAAATAATTTCAATAAGCACAACTGGAATGAATCAAATGTCTTACTTTTAAAATGAATTTGACGTTGGAGATTGTGTTCACACATCCTCCCACAGGAAATGGCAGCTCTCATATAGGTGTAGCCGTGTTGCATGTGTGGAGGTAATTGAAACTGATGATAGTGACAATGTGAAACAACGGTCAGGTGGTATAACAACCCCTCAAGGGCCACGGGAGCGCAGATGCAGTTTCATGGGACAAGATAGTTTTTTCGTTTGAGATCTTTAAATCATAATTGCAAGGGAACTGTTTCTCTCACAACTTCAAGGCATTTGTTAATGAACTGATAAATGTGGGTGCGGAGAATATCTATTACTGGTCTGCGTATTATTATGTGCCTATTTGGTAGAGTTTAATCAGATGAATCTCATGTGCGTTTTGAAATACTAGAGCATTTTGCTGACATCCTTTTGAGCCGTTCTTTTGTTGTCCAGTTCTTGAGGTTACCTCTGCTTTCTGTTGTTGTTGTCATCACTTCATAGTATTACATTCTTTTGAATTGCAATGTTGAGGATTTAAACACTACATATTTTCACCATGCTATTGATATGGCCAAACATATTCTTATAAAACCTAAACTACTAATTGATATAATTATTAGTTAATTATTTAAAAACAAACTTATTAATTGATATTGAAGTTACTATTGCAAATTCTTCACAAACAACTCAACAGAAAGACTCCAGTCTTAAAAACTGCCTCCATACCACTATGTTAAAATTTAGCTTGATATTATGGTTTGATATAACAGATTCTTTCGTCTTGTAAAAGATTAGGTTACATGGGACACTTCTTTTCTGATACTAATGATGTGAAAACATGTAACTAAAGTTTTATGATGCATAAACTATCGTGGGCATTATCCTAATCGCGCATCGCGCGTCATGAAAACTAGTATATATATATATATAAAGAGATGACACCAAGAAGTCTAGGGTTTTTACTTTAAAAAATAAAATGATCTTTCTACCTACTCTTATACCCACTTTTGTGAGTTCCTATATTGTACACCCGGATGTATGGGTGGGAACCGTACATCCAAGTATTTTTGTAATATATTGAAATCTCGTAAGGCTGAATTAATATATGAAGCATGATACGGACTGCACCAGCACCGAGCCACCGACTTCGTGGAATCTGTCGCTGCCATCAAAATCTCCCTCCCTTGCTAATACATCGTTCCCGTCGACCATGAATCAATTTACCTTCTTCGTTGAATTATACTCTATGTCAAACACCTCTCGACAAAGGATAAATCTTCCGAAGCCAAAACCATCCACAAACCAATTCTGACCCCATTATTATCCACCGCACATAGTATCATCTTGACATCCTTTTTGGCTTTTTGCAATTACAAGCTGCAAATACAATTTACAACCATCCTAGGATCTTTAATCAAAAAAAAAAAAAAAACCATCCTAGGATCCAAACCCCTTATGAATTTTTTTTATTAATATTAAATCTATTACATATACATTTTATAAAATGAGTTTTATGTTAATTCAAATGGCTATAAGCCTAAAACAAATGAACATACATAAATGAGCTTTTAAATGTTATGATACGCATTTGGTAAGTTATGTATGCTCACTTGGTATCACTTTTATGCTCATTTGAAATGTTATATCAGTACATATTTTAAAAGTATCAAATGAGATTAAATTCACTAGGAGTTGATTATAGACACAAGAGCAGATCATGATATTTAATGACATGATTATAATACTCAATAGAGGAGGTGTGATACTCAATGAAAATGTCTTAATGCTCAATGAATAGAACTTACTATTTTCATATCAATGCTCATTTTGTAAGTTGTGCCTGCTCATTTGATATTGTGTTACACTCATTTTTAAAATTGACATATCAATGCATATTTCAAAAGTAACATATTATATTAGATTCATATATTGAATTTCATAAGAGTTGATTATAAATATAATTTAAAAAAATATATAAATGAAAAAATTAGAAAAAGAAAGTGAATTAGAAGATACGAATTAGAAATTACGATGCTCAAAATTGGACTCTTAATTTAAACGAAAAATCATGTCTTCCACTAAATGAGCAATAATGTACTTTTAGTGAGTATTATGAAGCTAATAATGAGTATCATGATCTCTGCTTCATATTTTCTAATTCTTTTTTTTTCCCTTATTTTTTTGTTTATAAAAACTTGTTAAATTATATCTATAATACACTCCTATTAATTTCAATATTCGAGTTTAATGTAATACAGAGTATAATACTTTTAACATATGCATTGATATAACATTTTAAAAATGAGCATAACATCAATGCCAAATGAGCATACATAACTTACAAAGTGCACATTGATATGAAAGTCGTAAGGTTTGTTAGTTGAACATCACGGCATTTTAATTGAGCATCAAACCTCCACTATTCTGGTGAATGAGCATTAATGAACTTTTAATGAGCGTCAGACATATTATGTTGACTATTAGGAGTCTAATATTCAGAATCGTGATCTCTGTTTCATAACTTCTAATTCACTTTCTTTTTTTCATTTTTGCTTAAATATAAAAACTTATTAAATTATATTTATAATCAACTCCTATGAATTTTAATATGTGAAAGTAATGCAAAATGGAGTAGTACTTTTAAAAAATACATTGATATGACATTTAGAAAATGAGTATAAGATGAGTATCAGATGAGCATAGTAACTTACAAAATGCACATTTCGGTGGCATTTTTTAATTTAATTAAAAATCACGGCTCTCGCTAAATGAGCAATATTATACTTTTAGTGAGCATCTGACCTATTTTAGTGAGCATCTGACCTATTTTATTTAAGAGGCTAACAATGAGTATAACGGTCTCTGCTTCATATCTTCTAATTCATTTTTTTAAAAACTTATTGAATTATATCTATAATACACTCCTATGAATTTTAATATGCGAATTTAATGTATATGCTACTTTTGAAATATGCATTGATATGACGTTATAAAAATGAGCATAACATGAGCACCAATTGAGCTTAAGTTAGTTACAAAATGAGCATTGATATGAAAATTATAATTTTTTTAGTCGAACTTCAAGACATTTTTATTGAGCAGCAAACATTATATTCTCTATTGAGTATTAGAAACATGCAATGGAGTATCATGGTATGCTTCTATGTCTATAACCAACTCCTACGTGAATGTAATTTAATATGGCACTTTTAAAATAAACATTTGTGTAATAAATTAAGAATGAGCTAACACCAGTACAAAATGAGCATACATTACTTACCAAATGATCAATGATATGAAAATAATAAGTTTTGTTAGTTGGGCATCAAGAAATTTTTGTTGATATCTGCATTAATATGACATTTTAAAATGAGCATAAAACCAGTATCAAATGAACATACGTAACTTACAAAATGAGTATCAAAAAATTCCAAAGCTGGTTTGAATATCTAATGTGTTCAAATTTTCATTTGTGCGCATATAATGACAAATATAGTAGTTTATATTCAAAATAATTTATAATTTTTTGTTCTCAAATTACAAATATAATCAGATTCTTTTATAATATTTTACCATGCATATTTAAATTTTAAAGTATACTCATTTTGGTATAACATAAAACTCACATTAGTAATTAACACACAATATTTAATAAATTAATAAATATTCATCTTAAAAATAAAAATAGAAAAAACAAACATAAATACCTAAAATATTTTATAATGCACAAATTAAAAAATTTAAGTTAAAAGGTTGATTGGAAATAGAAAAAACAATCTCAAACATTAAATAATATTTTATATAATACATTTTCATAATAATTGAATAAAAAGATTTTTAAAGAAAAAATAAAAAAACGAAAAAGCAACAATTAAAATAAACAAAAAGAAAGAAGCAAACAACATGTCAAAGACTCGAAGCAACAAAAAGAAAACAAAACGAGAGAAAAGAAAAATGTAAAGCAATGATCGTCGATCAAGGCTAATGCGCAGGAGCCAGGGCCCAGGAGCAATGATGGCGGAAAAATAGGATAGACAGTCCAGGCACGTTAGATAAATCAGAGGCTTGAAGTTCAAATGTATTACAAAAATACCCGGTTGTACCATGCTCAAGGTACAGTCGGTTGTAGGATATAATTTACCCACTTTTGTACACACCTATGTTTGTGAACTCCGGCTCATAGACAATATTTCGCACAGACAAAATATTGTCTGTAAACCCGGGTTCACAGACAAAAAAACTCTCCACAAATATGGTGGGTATAAGGTGGGTATAAAAGTGGGTACATCAAGTGTTGTTTTATTTTTGAACTAAGTTACTAACTACTCCATACTAAGCATGATTTTTATGTAATTGATTAAATAAAATTGGATCAAATAAAATCATATCAGTGTTCCGCATTTATTAATGCATATAAAAACATATAAAAACAAGCATCTACAACTTTACAAGTAGTTCTCTAGAAGCTAGGGGGAGAACCGAGGGCATAGGTGACTTAGGGAGTGTTTGCAAACACTACCCAGAAGTGATTCTCAGCTTTTTTGTTAAAATAAGCTCAAATGGGTGTTTGTAAGCACACACTTTAGCTTAATTTTGAGCACTTTTAAACCAAAAGTTGGAAGCAGCCATTGGGATGCTTCTTTGTGCTTCTAGGTTTTTTAGTAAATAAATGAAACTTTATGGATAATTATTAGATCAAAATTTTCAATTAAACCCAAACTGCCCCCTTCTTCTTTTTGCTCACCACCGCATGAGCCATCTCTGCATTCTTCCATTTCGCTTCCAAAATCAGTGCTCCCCAGCAACCCAAAGTGCTCCCCGTATCTGTGCTCAACGGCAATCCAAAATCAGTGCTTTGCGACAGAAGGCGATAGAGATGAGATAAAAGGAGGAATTCAATAGCCGCCGTAACAGTGCTCCCCCTTCTAATGCTCGTTCCTTCTCCAGTCCATCACCAATATAATTGACCGGTTGACCACTTTATTTTAATCAATTTCTTTCCTTATCCCCTTTCCTCCACTTTATTGCAATGAAGAATGGCTGTCCTCTGGTGAGCCTAGGGATGATGGCTGAGCAGGATTTCCAAATATCCAAGGATATTTTTGTACTTTTCAGAAAAATATTATATCACAATCACTTTTTTATCAAACACTCCAACTTTTACATTTTAATCAAAATCACTTCTATTCTCAAACACTATCTACTTTTACTATTAATCACTTTTCCAATAATCTCTTTAAAAAATCACTTTTAAAAAGCACAAGCAATCGCAAACACTCCCTTAGTAGGAAGGGAGTGGAGAGTGCTACAAGAGTTCAATTTCAAACAATGACTTGGAAAAGAATCTCATTCTCTTACCGTCAAATTAAGATCAAATGTCAACTTACATCCTCTCAGATAATTGTCTGGTCAATTTTGGGGGACTCAGGGATGAGGTGTCGTCCCTTTTTTAGAAGCTGTGGAGACCAACTTTTTTAAAACTGATTATGTTTCTGCTTTTAAAAAAGAAACAAAAACAAAATCAACATAAAACACCCCCAAATACTATCTTCGTTTTTTAATAATTGAAATCGTTTGACTTTCACGTTTGTCAATACACAATTTTGAGTATAATTATATTTAATTACGTATTAATATACATTATCAAAATTAATATTTTGGGAATTCACATTAATAAAAAATAAATAGTCGCGGTCAAAGTAAAGTATGAATAGTGCAAAAATTACAACATTGCAGCTATTAGTTGCCTGAATCTACATTGAACTCAAAGCAATTAAGTACTTCATTCGTTCTTTTTTTACCATATTCATTCTTTTTTAATTACAATGCATAAATTTGATCATTAATATATTACATTTCTTATTAATAAAAAATTCATGTTCAGAGCAATTACAATAAGATAATTTAACAATATTTTTCAAAATGATATTTACATTATAAATAAAATATATCAAGGTAAATCATGTGAATAGTACTACCTCCGTTCTTTAATATTAGTCCTCTTAGGTTTTGACACGGGTTTTAAGAGGAAAGTAGTAGGGATAGTGTAAAAGGTGTAATGAGTAGTGAGTAAATGAAAAAGTAGGAAAGAGAAAGGGGTAATGGTAATAAAAGTTGGGGTATAAAGGTATATTTAGAGTAAAAACTTTCCTTAAATGGAAAGGAGGACAGATAAAAAAACGTCCCAAAAAGGAAAGAAAGACCATTAAAAAAGAACAGAGGGAGTATAAAATTCAACATGTTAAAAAAACTACACAAGTATTTCTTCTATACTCCCATGAACAACACATTATAAATATAAACTACTTTAGAAGCTATTCTCTTAATTGTAGTGGGGACTGGGGTAGCATATGAGAGATGATAGAGATAGAATGAATATTTTAATTTAATATGGATAAAGTTGTATCATGTATGTAAAGAAAAATGAAAATAATGAAGAGAAACAAAGACAAATTATAAACACAAATAGACCTGGGAAAAAATCAGTCCTGTAACACACAAAAGTTGTGAAATGAAAAATGAGACACGTGTGTAAAGTGTTTAAGAGACCACACTCTCCCATTAGAGTTTCTCTTGAATCAAAATTTGAAGGGTCTAGTCCGAAATTAGGTATGAATTTAAGTATGGGTTATACTCCGCAGGATATTGTGGAATACAAAAGACACTGAATTTTTATTTATGTTTAAAATAAACATATAAAGAATACACATATAGACAGCCACAAGCCCACAAGTGTCCAAGAGTTCTACTCAAGATTAAACGCTAAACCATAACAATTGAAAATCAGTATCAGTAACTCATTAAGTATATCACAGTACCCTTAAAAAAGTATGTCACAGTAAGCACGGCCTATCATTTTGGTAATTGCAGATATGATCACAATGAACAAGTATTACAGAGGATAATGAATTATATGGATCAACCAAGCCACTGTGTACATTTCCTATCACCACTGGCACCAACCGAGTGGCGAATACTTATCTTCTCATTTGCATATTTCTCCTGGAGCCATTCGAATCCATTCACGTCCAGCTTGCCAGACACTGATTTACCATGCTTCCTCCTCACCTGCTGCTCTCTTACAGATGCCCACAGTTTGCCAATGGCTTCCCGTTGTTTGGAGGTGAACCTGGACGCATTATCAAAGGCATGCTTCACTAAGATGTCTATTCCTGTTTGGCACCTGGTAAGACAAACAACACTTCATAAGCAAGAAATGCTATTTTCAGGAAAAAAAGTCTTCATGAAAATTCGTTTCCATTGTATTTATCTTCATTTGTTTTCCCTACAAATGGGTGGTTCAATGTATATAAATAGAATGCTATTTCGATAAATACAATGGAAAATTTCCAATACAGGAATAAAAACAAAGATGTTTTTCCTACATAGAAGTTTGTTTTTCCCCTAGATAGAAGTGAAGTTTAGTACTGTCATCCTAAATCATTCTACCACATTATGACATCATCCAGCATTAAAAAGATAGCAATATGATCTCATTATGCCATAATGATTTCAGGATGATAACATTTACTCCTATTTAGATGGAAAACATAATGTTCCTGTTTAGAAGAAAAAAACTTGCTCCTACTCTTTTGTAGGGCAATATCTATAAAAAGAATGCTTTTAGGATGACATATTATAAAATCACATACTATACTAATGCTTCACTCTTATAAAATATCCACTCCAATGATACCCTACATATGTAAACTTTTCTTTTTTTATGCGCCAAATGAGGGGAAAATCAGAAAAAACTTCTAGCGAAATAAACAAATGGAGCCTTAATTTGAGAAGAATTTTACCATGGGGTTTTGTAGCGTTTTGCTGCTATCTCCAAGCACAAAATCCATGCTTCTCGTTTTGACTTGAGGAGTCTCCTGGCATCCTCTGCTTCTTTCCTTTCTTTGGGCACCTTTCCTTTCCCATCTTTTTTTGACGTGCTTGGAATCAAAGCATCCAGGCCAAATGGGTCCTGCTCCTCTTTATTATTTACTATTGTTACTTCAGATGAAGTGTCAGGATTCTGCCCGTTGGCATTTTCTGCCCGTGTCTTATCCTCCAAGGAAGCAGCTTCGTCTATGTCATCATCTTTTGTTGCGAGTGGAAGGTTTGAAATGCCTTCTTTTATTTTCCCAGTAGCTTTTGAAAACTTGCAAAAATATAAATATGGAATACTATGATAAATAAATGATGAATAATACGCCTTATTTTTTCCCAAAAGAATCTAAAGTGGGAGGAAAGGAAGTACCCACCTTCTTCTCAAATAAAGAGTTCTATTTGAATACTTACATTTTTTCAATAGAATCCTATTTGAACAAAAGAATCAAATTTTCATTATATACCGAATATAGTTTTCCATATAGTGTCCCGAACAAGTTAGCTATGCCAAGTTTAGTTAAACCTATACCTAAATGATTATTTCCGATAGTTGTACCTTATGAAAAGTACAAAGTTATATTTTGATAGTTTGATGAAACACGACCCTTTTAGGACGACAGTTGTAACATTTAAAAACTGAACTAATATAAGAGATGCATACCACAAAACTGTCATCAGTGAAGAGATCATTGGCCACGATCGCCCTGATTGTCCAGACGGTAAATAAACTTTGCTGCTTCTTTGGGAGGCACTAAAGGATTAATATATTTTCAAAATGAGTTAATCTAACATTTACTCATTTAGCATTCACACACCATATGGAGAAAATTTTAAAAATTCACCTCAACAACATCTTGAGATGCAGAGAGCAATGCATGATAATCAGCTCGTACTGATGGCTCATTGCAGGTGGTGGGAGATGACATTGCAGCCTCAAGTATAGCAAAGAAATGTTCACTAGTTGAGGGTTTAACACTACCAGCCTGAATAAGTTGGATTGCAAGCTTTGATGCCTTATTGAACTTTGAGGGGTTCTTTATATGTGATGATATCTTCTCCATAGCTTCTATTACTTGACTTTCAGATGCATCGGTGGTGGTTTTGAATCTCAGTCGTTTTACAGAGGCAGAATCTGAAATAAAAAAGGACAGAGTATCTTATATCTGAATTCAAGGTAATAATCAGCCATCACATATCATCTGAGGGCGTAAAGGCTCTAATAATATTGACAAGCATGATGTACTTTTTGCAAGCATCACACTTTATCCAATGATAGTAACACAATGCATGAGTTAAAAGGGAGCCCACTGATATTTCATTTTCACTAAAATAGGTCAGACAACAATATAATAAGTAGGTGAAATTTGGTTTTGGCTTGGTACTCTCAGACTCAGTCTTCAGCTCGGTCCGGTTTCAGTTTAGTTCAGTTTTTTTGGAAGGGGAGTAATCACTTTTGTTTCAGCTTGATAATTTGTGGAGAAAAAACATATTAGAACATAACCCGAAGCGCACAAGATTTGGTTTTAGTCTGATTTGGTTCAAGCCTTCAAGGTAGTCAAAAGCGCCCGCCTAAACAGTGGCACATCAGAAGCGCACAAGCGCAGGAAGCGCTCAATCTTGAACTTATTGCACCTGAGTGGGGTTAAAATATTTAGCTCTTTTCCCTTCCACGAAGATCTGGTGCTTCTGGCCCATACTTTAGACACACATACACATATTACACATTATTCCACCCGAACAATAGGATCACTTCTATTACTGAGACTTCAGAGTATTATGGACTATTAGACTACCATCAGGACTCGTGCTCCATGCACAAGTATCAGAGAACAAAACTGAACTTTGTTTCACTTTTTTTTTCTATATTGGTTCTCTTTCTCTTTCCCAAGGTTCTCAAAAGTGTGTGCCTCATCGCTTAAGCGCACCAGACGCAGCGAGCATGGCATCCTGCGCTTGGGAGAAGGGGAAACACGCGTACATGAGTTAGGCGCAGCTTAAGCACAGAAGCGCATGAGGCGCTGAAGCGAACAAAGCCGCATGCTTGGGTCGCCCGATGCAGATAAGGCTGACTGCCTTATTTTGTTTAAAATCTTTCAAAAATAATTAGCCCATATCTTTAATAACACTCAGCTCATCTAAATAATAGGGTAAAACAAGTGAAACCTACGTAAAACCTAAGTCATGTATGTAAAAACGTATAACCCAGGGTAAGCCACCACAGCAATCATCAGTTCATCACTCTTCATTCTACTCACTCTCCTCACTCCAGCTGCTCTACATCGATCAAGTTTTCTATGTCATCTCCTCTCTACGAATAGTCCTTCACAATTTTAACAAGGGGAAATAGGCTCCAATTTTATTGTCTTTTGTTTTTTGTTTTATTATTAAAGCCAGGATTTCTGAATTGGGTGTGATGGAGTATATGGCCCGGGAACCCCCGGCCCACAGACTCCTACTAATCTATCACAAGCCCAAGGAGCTCAGGAGGCCCAAGATTCGGCGGCCCAAGCGTCAAGAAGCCCAGAATACACACTGGGGTGCCTTCGGCCTCCTTGGCCGAAGGCTCCAAAACTCACAGGATAGCCTTCTCTGGCATAAGAAGCTGCTGGGAGAAAACGGGCGAGGACATGAGCCTTCGGCATTCTCATGCCCTCGGCACCAGGGGAAGCCTTCGGCTACACAAGGAGCCCTCGGCTACACAAGGAGCCCTCGGCTACACAAGGAGCCCTCGGCTACACAAGGAGCCTTCGGCTGAACAAGGAGCCTTCGGCTGAACAAGCTCAATCATCGAAGATTCCTTTTAGAGACAGCCAACCACCGCATTTAATGTCACGTCGCATCCGCCAACCGCATTCAATGCGGTTGACGTACCACTGCCGGTGCCACCAGGCTGATGTGACCCTTCGGCCGTTGGATTACTGACACGTGTCCTCTCATCGCATTTATTGCTGCTATAAATAGCAGCCCATTTCTCCTTGTAAATCATCATCTGCATCTCAACTCCACACGCTGAGTTCATTTAATAAATCGACTCTCTCTCCTCCTATTTTGCTCTGACTTCTCTCTAGTTATTCCTGCAATAACCCCTCGGATAAGATACCCCCCGGGTAGCCTGCATGGGCCCTCATGCCAGCGCCTTCATCCTCGGGTTCCAACATTCATACGGAAGCCCTCAGCCATGAGCCCTCAGCGTATGGCCTTCATGCCATCGCCCTCATGACCAGCGCCTGGCCCTCATGCCAGCGCCTTCATCATCAGGTTCCAACCTTCATATGGAAGCCTTTGGTCATGAGCCCTCAGCGCATGGACTTCATGCCATCGCCCTCATGACCAGCGCGTGGCCTTCATGCTGCCAGCGCCTTCATCCTCGGGTTCCAACATTCATACGGAAGCCCTCGGTCATGAGCCCTCAGCGAATGGCCTTCGTGCCATCGCCCTCATGACCAGCGCGTGGCCTTCATGCTGCCAGCGCCTTCATCCTTGGGTTCCAACATTCATACGGAAGCCCTCAGTCATGAGCCCTCAGCGTATGGCCTTCATGCCATCGCCCTCATGACCAGCGCCTGGCCCTCATGCCAGCGCCTTCATCATCAGGTTCCAACCTTCATATGGAAGCCTTTGGTCATGAGCCCTCAGCGCATGGCTTTCATGCCATCGCCCTCATGACCAGCGTCTCGCCATCATGCTGCCAGCGCCTTCATCCTCGGGTTCCAACATTCATACGGAAGCCCTCGGTCATGAGCCCTCAGCGAATGGCCTTCATGCCATCGCCCTCATGACCAGCGCCTGGCCCTCATGCCAGCGCCTTCATCATCAGGTTCCAACCTTCATATGGAAGCCTTTGGTCATGAGCCCTCAGCGCATGGCTTTCATGCCATCGCCCTCATGACCAGCGTCTCGCCATCATGCTGCCAGCGCCTTCATCCTCGGGTTCCAACATTCATACGGAAGCCCTCGGTCATGAGCCCTCAGCGAATGGCCTTCATGCCATCGCCCTCATGACCAGCGCATGGCCTTCATGCTGCCAGCGCCTTCATCCTCAGGTTCCAACATTCATACGGAAGCCCTCAGTCATGAGCCCTCAGCGTATGGCCTTCATGCCATCGCCCTCATGACCAGCGCCTGGCCCTCATGCCAGCGCCTTCATCATCAGGTTCCAACCTTCATATGGAAGCCTTTGGTCATGAGCCCTCAGCGCATGGACTTCATGCCATCGCCCTCATGACCAGCGCGTGGCCTTCATGCTGCCAGCGCCTTCATCCTCGGGTTCCAACATTCCTACGGAAGCCCTCGGTCATGAGCCCTCAGCGTATGGCCTTCATGCCATCGCCCTCATGATCAGCGCTTGGCCTTCATGTCAGCGCCTTCATCCTCGGGTTTCAACCCTTAGACAGAAGCTTTCAGTCATGAGCCCTCAGCGCATGGCCTTCATGCCATCGCCCTCATGACCAGCGTCTGGCCATCATGCCAGCTCCTTCATCATAGGGTTCCAACATTCGTACGGAAGCCCTTGGTCATGAGCCCTCAGTGCGTGGCCCTCATGTCAGCGCCTTCATCATCGGGTTCCAACATTCATGCGGAAGCCCTTAGTCATGAGCCCTCAGCGTGTGGCCTTCATGCCACCGCCCTCATGACCAGCGCCTGGCCCTCATGCCAGTGCCTTCATCATTGGGTTCCAACATTCATGCGGAAGCCCTTGGTCATGAGCCCTCAACGCGTGTCCTTCATGCCACTGCCCTCATGACCAGCGCCTGGCCCTCATGCCAGCGCCTTCATCCTCGGGTTCCAACCTCTAAACGGAAGCCCTCGGTCATGATCCCTCAGCGCATGGCCTTCATGCCTTCGCCCCCATGACCAGCGCCTGGTCCTCATGCTAGCGCCTTCATCCTCAGGTTCTAACCATCAGACGGAAGCTCCCGCTCATGAGCCCTCAACGCGTGGCCTTCATGCTATCGCGCTCATGGCCATCACGGCAGACCCCCTGGTCTCAACGTGATCATCTGTCTCACGACCGGCCTCATCCCCTCACTTCATGGATGAGGACCGTTACATGGATTTCAGGATCGGCCCGTCAGCGTCGACATCCTTGCATCACGGCAGACCCCTTGGTCTCAACGTGATCATTCATCCGGTGACACGGCAGACCCCTTGGTCTCAACGTTATCATCTTTTTGAAGACCGGTCTCCTCCTCCCACTCCAAGGATGAGGACCGTTGCTGGATTTCGGACTGGCCCCTCCATGCCGCCGTTCGTGCATCACGGCAGACCCCTTGGTCTCAACGTGATCATCTTTCTGAAGACCCTCATCCTCGGCGGCACCTCTCGGTACCCCTCGGCGGCACCTCTTGGTACCCCTCGGCAGTACCTCTCGGCCATGAAACCTCCCGCCATACATGAATCCTTCGGGTAACATTCCAACGGCTATATTGCGAAGTGGCCTCAGCCAGCACCCTTCGGCACACAGGCAACAGTTTCCTTCAGGTTCCTATGCCTTCGAGCATGCAGCAGTATATGCCTTTGGTTTGTCAATGTTGCACCCTCAAGTGATCGTCTCCGGTTGTCACCTACTATAGCCTTCGGGGAACAACTCTCACCAAATGCCTTCGAGAATGCAGCAGCATAAGCCTTCGACTTGTCAATGTTCCGTCCTCGAGCATGTAGCAGCATAAGCCTTCGGCTAATCAATGTTGCACCCTCAAGTGGTCACCTTCGGCTATCATCTATTACAGCCTTCGAGAAAGCAGCAGCATAAGCCTTCGGCTTATCAATGTTGCCTTTCATCAAGTGCCCCCGAGCAAGCAGTAGTATAAGCCTTCGGCTTATCAATGTTGCACCCCCAAGTGACTGCCTCCGGCTGCCACCTATTATGGTCTTCGGTGAACAACTCTCACCAGAACCCTTCAAGAATTCAGCAGTATAAGCCTTCGGCTTGTCAATGTTGTCACTCATCAATGCATACTTGGATGATAGCCTTCGAGCAGACAGCAGTATAAGCCTTCGCCTTGTCAATGTTGCCACTCATCAATGCATACTTGGATGATAGCCTTCGAGCAGGCAGCAGTATAAGCCTTCGGCTTGTCAATGTTGCCACCCCTCGGGAGCTCATCAACACATCATAACTCCTTCAGCCCGAACTTGCCTTCGACCTAAAGGAGTGAGGGACTGGGATACACCCCTCGGGAATCACACATGACTAAAAACAAAAATTCCCACATGCAAGAAATCTACAAATAACGCATGTAGCCCTCGGGTACATACACCATTACACCCTTCGGCAAAGCAGAATGTCAGAAACTTTCCACAAAGTCACTGACAATGATGAAGCAACCTTCATCACAACACATACAGATATTATTTACGCTTCCCTCAGAAAACCCTCGACATGTGGGGGACTGAGGGAAGCCTTCGGCTAACAGCAGAAGATAAGTGATCAGTCAAAGGCACCCAACAAAACGATGAAGCTTTCGGGAGAATCAACACAATTACTCCTTTTCCCTCAAGTACCTTTCGGCAAAAGGAGTGAGGGACTCCTGATGGAGTATATGGCCCGGGAACCCCCGGCCCACAGACTCCTACTAATCTATCACAAGCCCAAGGAGCTCAGGAGGCCCAAGATTCGGCGGCCCAAGCGTCAAGAAGCCCAGAATACACACTGGGGTGCCTTCGGCCTCCTTGGCCGAAGGCTCCAAAACTCACAGGATAGCCTTCTCTGGCATAAGAAGCTGCTGGGAGAAAACGGGCGAGGACATGAGCCTTCGGCATTCTCATGCCCTCGGCACCAGGGGAAGCCTTCGGCTGAACCAAGCCTTAGGCTACACAAGGAGCCCTCGGCTACACAAGGAGCCCTCGGCTACACAAGGAGCCCTCGGCTACAGAAGGAGCCTTCGGCTGAACAAAGAGCCTTCGGCTGAACAAGGAGCCTTCGGCTGAACAAGCTCAATCATCGAAGATTCCTTTTAGAGACAGCCAACCACCGCATTTAATGCCACGTCGCATCCGCCAACCGCATTCAATGCGGTTGACGTACCACTGCCGGTGCCACCAGGCTGATGTGACCCTTCGGCCGTTGGATTACTGACACGTGTCCTCTCATCGCATTTATTGCTGCTATAAATAGCAGCCCATTTCTCCTTGTAAATCATCATCTGCATCTCAACTCCACACGCTGAGTTCATTTAATAAATCGACTCTCTCTCCTCCTATTTTGCTCTGACTTCTCTCTAGTTATTCCCGCAATAACCCCTCGGATAAGATACCCCCGGGTAGACTATCCATCAGGGTGTTTTACTTTTGTGAAACATGAAATTACTTTGGTGAATCCCGGTTAAAATGCATTTGGTTCCATATGATGTTACATGCATCATATTTGGTAATTATAGAAGTTTATGTAATATTATCTACGTAATGCACTTCACCCAAGTCAGGCGAGTGCTTAATTGTGCCATGCGCCTCAGGCGCTGGAGAGCCCTAGCGCTTTGAGTGTGCCTTTCGACTTTGACTACCTTGCTCTTTCCTTAACTTGAACAGGCACTCCACCACTTGCAGTGAACGCAGGTGCACAAATAAAATTGTTGTTTCGATAATTATTAGGTTAACTGTAGTAAAAGTTTTGTTTGAATATGTTCAATTACTTATAAAGATAATATAAACTAAAAAAACCATCGATTCAAAGGTTCTTCAAAATGGGTCATTGTCTTGAAAACTAGGTTAGTGTCATAAAACAGAAAACAGACAAGGTGAACCTAAATGAAACCTATGATACCTAGTTTCACCTCAAAACTTAAGGGCCATTGAAGTGTATAACTGTATATTCATACGCAAAGCACTTGAGCTACAATCAATCAATTCACTCATAGGAAATACGAGTAAAAAATCCATGAAGCCTGGAACTTTAATTGAGTACACACGATTAAGCAAATTATTAACATAGAATTGTAATAAGAAGCCCTACGGGCATAGGCAAGAAATTCAATTTTTCACAATCTACTGGATGAATTATCAAACAAACTAATAAATAGAACGATTTACATGGTTGAGGGTAGAAATTCACCTACTTTCAGGTGGGGTTTCCTGAGGTGGCTTCGGACGTTTGAGAGCGCTCTTAAGTGCAGGGTTGCATATTGGAGGTGGTGCAGGGGAAGCTCCTACATGAGTAACTGAAGTTGCGGCAGGGGAGCTCCCGGAGACTCCTGTATTAGAGGAAGCGTGGGGCGGTGGCAGATCTTCAAAGAGGTCTCCGGCCATCGCCCTGTGATGCGTAACTTCTCCCTCTGATCTCTGCCTCCTGCTACCAGGTCAGAGTTTTACGGGTGGGTAGAAATTCACCGGCATTCTCTGATATCTGCCTGTTTGGATGAAGTCGAAAGCAAGGGAAGTGTTATTAAGAGTTAACCATAGTGTTTTTTTTAACAAAGAGTTTGAGTTAACCACAGTGTTAAGAGAGAATTTTTTTGGAAGAAGGTGGCTTATAGCTTTCTCAACCATGCTAGGGGTACACAAGTTGTACACAACTTGTACACAAAATGTCGGTCATAGACAATTGGTACGGAATTTGTGCACACAGACAACTTTTTTCTGTGTCCACAAACATTTACTATTTTGTAAAAAGTACGCTGACAGCCGCCTAACACTGACATCAGCTTACAAATCAATCAATATATGTGCAATGTCTGTGTGCACAGACAATATTTTCATGTTGCACAGACAATTATTTGTCTGTGTGCATAGACAACTTTTACCACACAGACAATAGTTGTGCGTTCCACAAACAATAGTTGTCTGTGTGATCAATTTTAATTGTTTGGGTGAACAAAAAACTCAATTTTCTATATACATCCAAATGAAGGATGTAGTTGTATGTGTAATCAATTTACATTAATTTGAATAAAATTAGAAACATAATAAAAATATATGAAATAAGATGAATAAGTTGATTTTGTGCAAATAATGAAAAAAATTGATAAATAAAGGTAGAGAAAAAGAGGATGAAGAAGATAATTTTGTTGTTGTTGAGAATTTTAGAAGAGATTAGGTAAAGAGGAAATAGAGAATGGGGAGAGGAAGAAGAGAGAATCGAGAGAGAAGAGGAAGGAGGAAATGAGATTTTTTTTTTGCTTTTATACCATGTACAACTTGTGTACATGGTGTGTATACTTAGCATTTTCCATAGCTTTATACTCCGTATTAATTAATAAGAAAGAACGTAAGGAGAGTACAAACAAACAAAGAGTCCACTTTTTGAGAGAATTTAAAAAATGAAGGATTAATAATGGAAGTGTTTTAATTTAAATTGACAAAAACCTCTCCATACCCTTTTAATTTATTAAGTACTCATAAATCATAATTGCAAGTTTCATTATGTGAAAAACTTATAAATAAAAAATACTCGTATTAAATTACAAATTGGTCCTCAAATTCCATGAATGATATATAAGCCATATACCCAAAGCAAAATCAATAATTAACAGGACGATTAAATTCTTGGAAAAATGTAAATTAATAATCCGATCTTTTAGCGGTCTTCTTTCAATAGTCCCACCTTATCGTTATTCATTAATAATTCAACATTTACACATCATCTTCATTTGCTGGTCTCTGACCGTTTGATGATCTGTTATTCCAGGGTTTTTCATTTCCTTTGCAAATCATTCAACCATAAATCCTTCCTTTCACAAATCTTCACCAATTGGTCCTACGTATCATTTTTCTTTTCTCTCCCTAAAAATTTTCCTTTTTTATTTTTATCGTCTTGATTTTTTTATTCCCCTTTTCGGTTTTCTTCTTATTATTTTTATTACTTTTCAAGTTTTATTTATTTTTTCAATTTTTTTTATTTATTTTTTCAATGTTTATGTATTCCATTTTTCCATTTTTCCTTCTTTTTCTTTTTCCCATTTATTATTTCATTTTCATACTCATATATTTTTTGGATTAGTTTCCTTATAAAAGATCTTTCTGTCACTGTACTAACTTCTTTACTTTATTTCCTTTTTTACTTACACTTATTTATTTTCTTTTTCCTTTTCTTACCTTTATTCTACCACTAATATATTTTTGAGAAAATAGCCCCAAAATAGAACTATACTAATCCCTAAATGCATAAATAGAACTGTGTTATTTATCTTCCCAAAATAGGACTAATGTACCGTCTATCTTGTTATTCTACATTTCTACCATTACCATAACTTAATAGGATAATCATATTTTACATTATAATAATAAAAAAAGGTATTTCAATTTATAAAAATATAGTAACAAAATAAAAAGAAAGTTAAAATGTTTTAAAAATAATAAATAATATATATAGATAGAAATTAATTTAAAGAAAACTTTAAAAATAAATAAAACCAGATAAAACACATTAAAAATTGTTTTACCTGTTTTTTTCTTACTATATTTTATAAATTAAAATATCTTTTGTTATTTTTATATTATAATGTAAAATATGATTATCCTATTAAGTTATGGTTAGGGTAGAGATGTAGAATAAGAAGATAGACAATACTTTAGTCCTATTTTGGGAAGATAAATAACGTAGTCCTATTTTTGCATTTAGGGATTAGTTTAGTCTTATTTTAGGGCTATTTTCTCAAAAATGTATTAGTGGTAGAATAAAGGTAAGAAAAGGAAAAAGGAAATAAATAAGTGTAAGTAAAAAGAAAATAAAGTAAAGAAGTTGGTACGGTGAAAAAAGATCTTTTATAAGGAAACCAATCCGAAAAAATATGAAAATGAAATAATAAACGGGAATAAGAAAAAGAAGGGAAAATGGAATACATAAACATTGAAAAAAACACAAAAAACTTGAAGAGTAATAAAAATAAGAATAAGAAGACCAAAAAGGGGAATAAAAGAATGAAGACGATAAAAATAAAAAGGAAAAATTTTTAGGAAGAAAAAAGAAAAATGATACTCAATCCGTTCTTTAATAGATGGGAGTACGTTATACATATAGTCTTTGGCACAAGTTTTAAGAAGGAATTAATAGGGGTAAGATAAAATGTGTAGTGGATTGTGTTTAAATGAAAAAGTGGGAAAGAGAATAAGGGTATAAAGGTATATTTATTGAAACTTTCTAAAAATGGAAAGGGAGACAACTGTTAGAGAACATCCCAAAATGTAAGTGTAACAAGTATTAGAGAACGGAGGGAGTATGTGGGACCACTTGGAGAAGATTTGTGAAATGTGTGATTTATGATTGAATGATTTGCAAAGAAAATGAAAAAAAAAACTGAAATAGCAAGTCATCAACCGATCATGGACCATCAAATAAAGATGGGGTGCAAAGTTTGGATTATTAATGAATAACGAGAATGTGGAACTATTGAAAGAAGATCGCTAAAAAGTCGGATTATCAATTTTCATTTTCCCTAAATTATATGAATTTCTCAAGCAAATAAACATACGTATACACGCTATGGAAGTTTGGCAGCTAAATTAATTCACTTCCAGTCCAGTACAATGGCTTTCTCATGAGTGGAAGAAGGTTATTTGCATCCCTACTGCTGGTTCAGGGGGCATGGGTCGAAATTAGGATGCCAAGTCTAAACCCACTATTTAATTCAGACTATGGAGAACGTAACAAGTTCAACAAGTAGCAACAGACACCATTTATCAATGAAAAAGATGAAAAGAATTGGGGAAAAGAGAAGCAAACTGGAAAAGGAGATGACTAATGCTACGAAAGCAAGAAAAGGAATAGCCGCACACGGGTGAACGTCAATATAGTTAGGCATGTAAAAAAAAACGGCCCGCAATGACCCGCCCTGGCCCGAGACATTTGGGGCGGGTCCGCCCACCCCGTCTTGCAAATGGGGCGGGCCCACCCCACCCCGTCCATACAATGGGGCGGGTCTGAATATTAGTATTGAACCGTATTAGAAATCAAATATTCTCCGTATCACTCCTATTATTACTACCTATTCTTTAGCATTACCATGTTTATTTCTTACCTTGTTTAGCTCTTTTGCTAGCCTTTTTATTCTGGTTGTATGCTCTGTTTTGAACACACGAAATATACACATATTCCCTGGATATTATTGTTTTCTACATGGTATCAGAGAAGGTCCTACAAAGAAAACCCTAACCCAAAAACGTCATGGCCGGAGAAGATGATGCCGGCAAAAAGAAAACCGAGGGAGAATCCTTGGATTCGAACTCACCATACTACATCCACCCATCAGATTACCCCAAGCAAATGCAGGTGAACGATGTCTTAAATGATGGAAATTACAACGATTGGGCACAAGAGATGGAGAATTTCCTACTGGCAAGAAATAAAATTGGCTTTGTAGATGGGTCGATTGAAAAGCTAGACAAGAAATCACAGACTTACATGCCATGGTTACGTTGTGACGCCATGATAAAAGGATGGCTAACAACTGCTATGGAAAAGGAGATTCGAAGTAGTGTAAAGTGCGCAAATACGGCAACTGAAATATGGTTAGATTTAAAGGAGCGGTTTGGAAAAGAAAGCGCCCCTCGGGCGTATGAATTGAAGCAAACACTCTCAGCTACCATTCAAGGTGATTCTCCTGTTTCTACCTATTTCACGAAACTCAGAATCATCTGGGATGAGATGCAGTCTGCCCTCCCTATTCCTCGTTGCAACTGTGGTGGGTGTTCTTGTGATATTGGGAAAAGGCTGGTTGAACGCGAAGAAAAGGAAAGACTTTATGAGTTCCTAATGGGCTTAAACAACGAATTTTCAGTCATCAGGACACAGATTCTTGCAACAAATCCAACACCAACGTTGGGTAATGCCTACCATCTTGTTGGTGAAGACGAACGACAAAGAGTCATAACAGCTGATAAAAGACCTCCTGTTGATACGCTGCGTTCAAGGCATTCATCCCAGGACAACGGGAAAACGTTTCCAATCAACAACGTGACAAACCTCTTCCCAGGGATATGAAGCGTGCAGATGGTGTTGACCACTGCACTTTTTGTGGGAAGGATGGACATATCCGTGATGGCTGTTTCAAGCGAATTGGATACCCTGAGTGGTGGCCGGGAAACCGGAAGCGCGAGGAAACCAAACCCAAGGCAGCATGTGTGGAAACAGGATCATGCCCTATTCCAGGTCTGACAAAAGAGCAATATGATATGTTCCTAAAGCACTTTGCAGATGCAGAAGACACCAGCAAAGGGGGTATGACACCCATGGCATATAGGGTAGGTAAAACTGATGATGATTACTGGGTGATAGACTCGGGCTCGACCGAACATATCACCCACAACAGTCATATTCTCCAAAATATGACCCAAAGTCGAATCGAAACCCCTATTGTTATCCCTAACGGGGATGCCATATCTGTTGAAGGGAGAGGTGAATGTACCTTACCAGGAGGGACAGAAATAAAGGGAGTTTTACATGTTCCCAAATTCACTTGTAACCTGCTATCAGTAAGCCGATTAAGTAAGGATTTACAGGCTGTCAT